AGGAGGAGGTGGAGAAGGAGGAGGTGGAGAAGGAGGAGGGGGTGGGCACAGACAGACAGAGAGACAGACAGATGGAAGAAAAGACGGCGAGTGAGTTTTCGACGTGATGAAACAAGAAACAGGTAGAGACGCAGGGAGAAGAGAGATCAATATGAGGAGGGAAAATACACACCCCGAATTTAGTTTAATTCAAAAATTTGTTTTTTGGTGGAGTGTTAGGAAGGGAAAGAAAATGGCCGCCTCCTACAAGGATCTAATTAATTTTGAAGGATCATCAGCCCCTTTAGTCCAAGGCAGGGTACAGGAGGGAGGAAGGGAGGGAGGGAGGGAGACAGACCCCTGGGCTGATTAGAATTCACTGCAGGTAGGCACTGGCTGCTGCTCACCCACTGTGTCACGGCTAAAATGGAATCACTGTTGTGAGTGGCAGTCTGGGCAACTGAAGCCTGCTTCCCTTGGCCTGCTCCTTTGTTGCCAGCATTCACCTCACTTTACCCCTTAGGCAGGTGGATTTACATGTCTGGATGGGTGAGGGAAGCCAGAGAGGGAACATATATGTGTTTGCATTGTCTAACAGTGAGCCATTAAAAAAAAGGGCCTATGGCATCAGAATACAGTTACATGTCAAGCTAACCCCTGCCAGAAAAAGAATTTAAAAAAAGGTCAAATATTTGCCACTGTAATGGATTCGAGCATTTTGGCACGTGTGAGTAGTCCGTTAAAGAGAAGGCTTTAAAATGAGGACATTTTTTGTTGGTTTTCACTTTGACTAAGTTAATTCTGAATTATTTCAGTGTCAACGACTAGGTTATAGCAGGTTACACCTACTGTAGGGTTAATAGTTTCTGTTAGATCTAGTTTTTAGAGAAGATTATTTGTAGGTTGCTGTTTGCGTTACAGTTACACCTACAGTTTGAGAAAAGGAAGAGAAAAGTTTAATTTTAGTTTTAGGGTTTAAGGATCTCACTGTAAAATGTATTTTTTTTCCCCTGACCAAGACGGGAGAACAAACCAGCGTGTGTGTGTGTGCGCGTACGTTTTAGTGCCAAAGTGTTATCCGTCTCAGTATCGAGTGATCCCCCTCTGCTGCTAAACATGCTATTGCTTGTCTATACCTAATCATCTGATTCGTTAGTTGACAAGGACATTTCTAACAGTGCTTCTCAAAGCTGTTTCAGTTCTTTCTATTTAACCCCTCAACTCTGTTTTTTCTACCAGATAGAATATCTCTCCCAACTAACTATCTGACCATTTTGGAGGTATATATGTATCTGTTATCTTGGCATAGCATGTGGTCCCTTTTCCAGCCAGAATTTGTGGGAAAAATACAAAGGTCACTTGATTAAAATCACATAGTTCTCGCCTGCAGATTTCACCTCTGCGTCTCAAAACGGGAGGTGTGTTCTTTGAAAGTGCTTGAGATTTGAAAAAGAAGAATATGTGTCAACATTAACGTGCAGGTCTGGTCAAATCCTTGCCCCGTTCTGTTCATTGAGCAACACACTTTAGTTATTGGCATTTTACAGGGAGCACTTGATGTTCGTGTTGTAGGCAGCGTGACAGCTACTGAGTGTTTTTTATTCTGTTTCCAAAAAAACATTTAAGAGTGTCAGATCACACTTGTAATTATGACCCGAACTCTAATTAATGATAAATATTCACATCCCAACACGCAGAGTCATTTCCAGATACTTTTAAAGCTTTATTGGTTGAAATTTGACCAGTGTGGGACTAGTGAGAGAGAAATTGTAATTTCTTTCAGTCTGCCTGACCTTAAATGATACCATGAGTATGTGACTTTAATGTGGTCATTTTTGAGGTAAAACTTGTGCATACTAATGTGTGTGTACAATATAAGAGCAATTGTGAAAGGCTTTCTTAGCGTCACCAAACCAGCTCATCACATGCTTAATGTTGTTGAATGCCTTTCTTGTGTTTTGGAATGAATGCCTTGTGTGTTTAATATTTGACTCTTTTCTATTATTACAACTTCTAATGTCCACTCTGTGTCTGTACTGGATATTGTCTTGTTTAATTTGTGGGTTTGAAAATGAAAAAGAACACAGACATGTCCACACACACACACACACCACACCACACACACGTACGTACACAACACACACACCACACACACACACAGCCACAACACACACACACAAACACATACATAGACACTTTGTTGTGAGTGTGAATGAGACCTTGTCTAAATTATTTAATCTGCGTAAATGTATGAGGAATTTAGATCGTTTTTCTTCAGAAGGGTGTGGTTTTGTTGCCCACTGGCTCAGATAACCGCTGAGAGAAGAACTGACTCTAATACCAATATTATTTTCAACCTTGATTTGTAATTGGTGGTCATGTGCACACAGGAACGTCCTTTCGTCTTGCTTTGAAAACTCTTCACACATCTGTTGCAGCGTGTCAGTGGTAGATATTTGTGTTACTGTGGCTTCGGGTTCATTAAGGGAGTGGCAATATCGACGAGGCAGTATGTGGCATTAAGATTTGTCTTTGTCTTTTCTCTCCCCCTCCAAACACTGTGGTAGAGCAACACATGATTTGGACAGAGAGGACTGACAGCCTTGCCTAGCACCCGGCCTCTGATCAGCCATCTCCACCAGCAAACTGAAGCTTGACCCGCACTTCATCACCAGCCTCACAAGCATCTTCGGAACAAAACGTCATCTAACTGTGAGTACTGGACTGCTTCAGTTTTTATTTTTATCACCTTTACATTTAAGTTCGAAATAACTTAGCTTGAAATAAACATGCATACTTTTTGCCATTAACACTATTGAACTACTCCTGCAGTACATTTTGGCTAAATCCTACCTTATGTGGGTAAACAAATCTGTTAATGTCAAATATGGTTTTATTCTTTGTACCACGAGTGAATTCATTTCTATTCACTGTATGAGTGGATTCCAAATTATAAAGCATTTCTCCACATGTCCAGTTTTTTTTAAACATATATACAGTAGTAGTTTACAGTAATGTGTTGATTCTGACATTTCAGAACCAATATGTTTTCATAAATATATTTCTTCATTCATTGACAGACATAGTGTAAACAAATTATCTATCACATTTTTGACACGTATCTGTACAGTTTCCAAGATCAAAAGGAGCACAGTTACACTGGAAAGTGTAGTGTTTAATAATCATTCAAATAAGGTCTGCTGCCTTACTTAAATTATACTCAAGCAGTTCATATACAAAATAAATACATTTTACAGCAATTATGAAAACCCACAATTTGCACAATTCTTACACTTACTACCTATCTGATTTAGATTTAGATTTTAATTTCTTTTAACGCCTAACTGGGAAGAAAAGCATCTTAAGTTATCTTACACACTGATCAGCCGGGTCACATCTAGTGTATTCCAAGGATAGTTAGGAAGCGCCATCAAAGTGAACACATGGCTAACAAAAGAGGCCTGTTGTCCTCTAAGCCCAGTGCACCACCTAATGGTGGTTGGAGGTATTTCAGGAATACACACTTTCGAGAGGGAAACTTGTAATAATTAGATGGGAACCATCTTAATGGTCTTTCACCATGGCAATGTGTAATTTTTGCACCACGATTCAAATCAGACAAATTTAGCTCAGATGTTGCAATTATTTGATTCTCATTCTAATATTATTAAAATATTTACATTTCCATATCTGTTATCATTTTAGGAATTCTCAACACTCTTATGACTGCCTATAATAGGTATCAATATTACTTATCATATATTCAAATTGATTCTAGAACTGGAACTTGGTAGTGTTTTCTAACACAAGGTGAACACCAATTTTCTTGCAGGCAAGAGAACTTTTTGTGATGCATTTGCTCTTGACTATTCCCATGACTATACATGGTGTATATTTAATTATTCAATTACACTGTTTTATTACTCCTCATATATCAGAAATACTGTAAACCAATAATGGAAATATAATGTTGTTAAATGTGAAAAAATAAGTAGATATACTGAAATTCCTAATTTTAGTTCACACCGGTGTGTTTAATCCACTAACAGTGTGTGTCACAGTTTCTAAATCACGTGTGTTTCTTCCTGCTCGCAGGTGACATCAGTTGCAAGGGGATGACCGAGCGCATTCATAACATCAATCTCCACAACTTCAGCAATTCTGTACTTGAGACCCTCAATGAGCAGCGCAACCGTGGGCACTTCTGTGACGTGACTGTTCGGATCCATGGAAGTATGCTGCGAGCTCACCGGTGCGTGCTGGCTGCTGGAAGCCCCTTCTTTCAGGACAAGCTGCTCTTGGGCTACAGCGACATTGAGATCCCTTCTGTGGTCTCAGTTCAATCCATCCAAAAGCTGATTGACTTTATGTACAGTGGGATTCTGCGGGTATCTCAGTCAGAGGCCCTGCAGATCCTTACTGCTGCCAGCATCCTACAGATCAAGACCGTCATTGATGAGTGTACCCGCATCGTGTCCCAGAATGTGGGCCTGGCTGGGCCGGGGGGGTTCCCTGTTATACCAGGAGATTCTGGTCAGGAAACACCCCGTGGCACGCCAGAGTCTGGCACCTCTGGGCCCAGCAGTGACGCAGAGTCAGGTTATATGCAAGCATCATCACAGCAAAGTATGGATCGTGCATACACATCACTGTACTCCTACCCTGGCCTCTCTCTGCAGAACGGCACCCGCGAGCGCCCCCTGTACATTAACCCTCTGGCGTCAAATTACGATCCGACTCTCAGCACTCAGAAGGACCACCAATCTCAAGATCCGCCCTGGATGAACCGCATCCAGGAGAGATCACAGCAGGTCGATCGCTTCATCTCCACAGCAGAGTCCACTCACTGCCGCAAGCAACCCCGACCGGTACGCTTACAAACAGCAGGGATGCACATAAAGCAGGAGGCCGAAGACGAGTACAGCTGCTACGATAATTTGGGGGACTGCCAAGATGACACTGACCATACTGAGGGTGTAGAGAGTGAATCCAAGGTTGAAAGTTTTGACTCAGGGGTGAGCTCCTCCATCAGTACTGAGCCAGATGCCATGGAGCAGCAGTCGTACCTGACGGGCTTTGGCCGAGACGTGAGCGGGGACGGGCAGCAAGGCGAAGGAGCTCCAGTGCATATAGAGGTCAATGACTCGTCCCCAGAGCAAGTGCAAGAGACAGAGGACGGGGACACATCCCACAGCACTAGTGACAGTAGCATGATGCAGCCCCTGCCAAACTCAGTCATGTCCCAGTCCCTGTCAAGTGCCCCGCACTACATGCGCTCGGCAGAATCACACACCAGCAATCTGAGGATGCCGCTCACCGTGACCAGCAATTCCCAAGTGATGGGCACTGCTGGAAGCACCTTCCTGCCCACACTCTTTCCTACACAGCCGGCTAGAGACAACAAGCCTTTCCTTTACCTTCCTGGCCAGCAGCAACCCCAGTTTGTGGCAGTGCCGCCCCCTGCAATGCCATCATTCCCGAACCCCATGTCGGTACAGCAAGCGCCACCTCAGCAGCAACAGGCTGCAGGAGGACTTGGTTCGGGGGAAAAGAAGCCCTATGAATGCACTCTCTGCAGTAAAACCTTTACTGCTAAACAGAACTACGTCAAACACATGTTTGTCCATACTGGTAAGTCTAAATCTCTTATTTCTGGTCTTTGTTAACTTTTATTATGTAAGCTCAGTTCAGTGATTATAATATCCATAGCTAATGTAATTAATGTAGTTAAGTAGTGGCTGTGCTGTGCAGAAAATACTATAGAAATATTTTTGCTTATGGGGTGACAGGATCTAACATCAAAAGTTTTATATTTAAATTTTTTAATTATTATATGAACACATGGTGAATACACATAACATATTAAAAATGTTTCTTTGTCATAAATCAAAAGTAATTGTGGACCAAAGGGTATTAATTTTTCATTTCTGCTATCATTACGATTACAATGGTTAGGTGTCACGATGATGTCTAGTTGAGGATAGAGTTCAGGTTAAGGTTGGGTTCATATTTAAGTAAGAGAAAACACCAATCAGAGGGGAAACAGAGTTTGATGCAACATCTCAGAAAAAGATAAACCTTAGATATTTTAAAAATAATTGATTTTCTTTGCTAAATTCAAATGGCGGATTAGATTGATGCTTCCTTAACTTTTCCTTCTTATCCAAATTATTATATTAATTAACAAATACTGTAAAACAGTATACTATGAACATTAGAACATAAAACATACTGTATACTGTAATGTATAGTATTACTACTGTATATTTGCTGTGTTTTTACACTGGAAAAGTATTTAAAATATGCAGCCTCAAAATGTACATTCATTAGGTCACAGTTGCCAAGCATCTTTGTTATCATTTGTATCTAACTTACAATGATTGCTCATGCAGCACATCATTACACTGTGCACTGCTTTCTTCCAGCACTGACAGCCTAATCAATCATAAACTGTAGAAATCATCATCACAGAAAGAAAGAATTAGATATCATATAATTAGATGATCTCATAAAAACTGCCTACTCATATAGCCATTATTATTCATTAGAATCCATTACTTTGGCAAAGCCACCTGTGAATGCTATTTCAAACCAAATTTCATATTTCACTCATGCAGTTGTGCGGAGCACACTGATGACACATTGAGAGGGAATGTCACTGATCCGTCAAACCCATGGACGAGAGCTAGACGTAAAAATTAAAAATATTAATCAAAAACCAACAGGGTGTCAGTATGTGTTGTCCCTATGAGATGACCATACATCTACTACCTATACGACATACATTGCCTTTATTTCAGTAGAGAAAAAAGGTAATCAAGAGGTAGTTTGGCAAATGTAATAGATTACATCTTCACACCTGATGCATGAGAAGGGTGAGAAAATCTCTATTTCAAAATTCCTAAAAATGTGAGCGTAAACAAAATGTAATCGATACACAGCCAAAATAGCTAAAAGACAGTGGACACACCAGTTCTGTTGCATGACTCACATTTAGAGGGAACGTGTCATTGGCTGCAATCAAAAAATCTCTCAGAGACAAAGGAGACACCTTTTCAATTGTATGAGTCACTGAATTGGAAATATGCGTTTCTTAAGAAGAGCAAGACAGTAAATACACCTATTTACCTGTTATATATGTTCTGTAACCGACCCTGACTTCCTATTTAGCAGGTCAAGTTAAAGAAAAAACAAAAAGGTTTTAAAATAAAAGTATAAATTATTGGCTTCTTTTAATCAAAGCAGGTATGCTGCAAATTAATTCACTCACTGCAGCAGCAAACAGTAGATACACCGGGCTTCATTAACAACTTGCCTGTTCGCACTGTTGTCCGTCTCTCCCTCTACCTGTTAGTTCTATGTAATTATTATTAATATGTTAATATTTCACAGCCCCTAATGTCAACACAGACAATTATTTTAAAATGAGCTTATACCTCAAACTGACAAAAACACCAAAGAGAGTCACACATTCTTTGGTTCATTATCGTATGGGAATTAACATTAGTGTGTGGTTTTCAATTCTTTTCTAGTAACTCAACTTTTCTGTGTTTGTAAAGGGATTACAGTTTTATTTTTATTTTTTATAAAATATCAATTGTACAGTTCTGTTACAGTTTTAAATAACTGCTACATTATAGGAAACCTTTTTTCACAAAGCTGTAGCACACAGCAGCTAGTGGAACCCGCATCATAACAAAACTAATACAGGTTTGAATAATTCTAGCCTGAGGTATGTTCCTGTACTGGAAAAGTAACTGCTAGCTTCAGGCATCCTGCACAAGTTCTTCCACATTTTGTAAACCTAATTCTCAAAATGTGTCTCTTCTTTTTTCCCCTTAATGCTTTTGTCTTGCATGTACATCCAGGTGAGAAGCCTCATCAGTGCAGCATCTGCTGGCGCTCGTTCTCCCTGAAGGATTACTTAATCAAACACATGGTGACACACACAGGGGTGCGGGCCTACCAGTGCAGCATCTGCAACAAGCGTTTCACCCAGAAAAGCTCTCTCAATGTCCACATGCGGCTGCACCGTGGAGAGAAGTCCTATGAGTGCTACATCTGCAAGAAGAAGTTCTCACACAAGACCCTGCTGGAGAGGCACATGGCTCTGCACAGCACAGGCAGCACCATCACAGGCCTGTCGGGGAGCGCAGGTACCCCGGGCCCAGTCTCCATTCCCATCCCTATGGCTGTCCCTGAGCCTGGAGCTGGAGTGGTGGCCCTCGCCATGCCAGTGAGCGGAGGTGCTGGAGTAGGGGCTGGGGTTGGAACAGGAGTGGGTGTAGCCGCAGAAGCGAGCTGCCAAGAAGGGACCACCTACGTGTGCTCCGTCTGCCCTGCCAAGTTCGACCAAATAGAGCACTTCAATGACCACATGCGAATGCATGTCTCCGATGGATAAGTACTAATAGATAAACTTCTTTCAAAAAGAATGACAAATAAAATGGCACTAGATTTTCCTTTTCTTGTTTTGAGGTATGAAGAGTAATGAGTATAGACACTGGCACATTAAGTTTCCCAAAAAAGATTTTTTTTTTTCTGTTATTCTAAAAGGAAAAAAAAGATGGTGGCCTTAAGGCTTAGTAGTTTGATATTGATCTACTGGATGGATCCTAACTACAGGCCTCTAAATGTATGCTTTCCTAAAATACTGATTTATGTGTTGAACACTACCGAAAGGCCTACGAAAGAAACACATACACACAAACACACCTTTAGTGTAGATATGTCTGAATGAATATACATGTGCATATATGTTTGAGCGTTTGCGTATTTGCATGTGTCTGTCTGTTTGTCCAAGTGTGTGTATGTGTGTGTGTGTGTGTGTGTGTGTGTGTGTGTGTGTGTGTACATTGCCATGAAACATAAATCATGGCAGTTGTGAACCCATACTGACCAGTTTGGAAACTATAGATGTCCAAGCTTACTGTGGTATAATTTACAACAACAATAACAAAAATCATCTGGGGTTGGGCTACATATTCCCTCTAAAAATACTGATGGTCACAAGATTGCCTTCTTATGTAAAATAAAAAAAGGAGAGTAGTTAATTTGACAGTGGGTTTTATTTATTCCTATGGTATTAAGGGATTATAATGCAGCTGTTGTCAAGGTACCAATTTCAATCATTTTACTGAAATGTAACTTCCTGTCGGTGGTGACAGGGACAAATATTTCTCACATGTTTTGTAATTGTTGTCCATGCATTGTGATGGTTAAGATTACGTTTACTAAATTAGGGTGTATTGATGAGACAGTATTTGAGCAAAAATATGTTTCTTTTTTTCTGAAGTTTGGAGTTTAACTCATTTGCATACACTGCCACTAATATCTTAAAAGACTGTTAAGGCTAGTAGACCTCTTCCATTTCAAAACACAAGAAAAAAAGAAAGATTCTTTTGCTGATGGTTTTTTTTTTAGCCTTTCACATTCACAGTTATGGCAGGCTGGCATATGCGACTAAACTCTCTCCTTCATAATTGCTGCTCCTCAACTTGCACCTGACTGTTATGGGATGTAGATTAAAAAAGGATTTGTCACTTTAACTATTGTTGTTATTGAGTAGCCTACACGGTTTTCATTTGATAATTGAATTATAATATCGGGGGGCATTTAGGCTAGTTGTTGATTGGAACAGTGTTAAAGAGGGAGGGATTTAATTTGAATCAAATTTGAATTGGAAATAATTGCCATCCTCATCCTTAAAGTCCTGTATAACCAGTTCAATACAATTGCACAGCTATTTCAGCAAGTGGGAGCTAAATGCATTACTCTTTATGTATTGGCTCTCCCTGAAGGCTCAAATGGCATGCAACGTTTTGAAAGGAAATACAGTCTGAAAGCAAAACAAGTAGCTCCATTGAAATCACACTGTTTCGTGATATACCACAAGTTGCAGACGGACTTTCTAGACAATAGTATACATTCCTGATTTTTCTAAAAACCCAGACACAGCATGTACAGAATAGATTTGGAAGCTAGTGTGCGCAAGTTGTCATCCATGCATCACATCACTTAAGGCTCATTTCTGATATTTGAATTGTTTTTGTAATTGCTTTTTACTCAAAATAGGACACACACACACACACATGCAACTGCCTGCAACTGCAATCTGAAGGATTTGCTCATTTATGTGAGCAAACACTTTCGTAGTTGTATTGTTAAAAGAATAACTGCATACAGTGGTCTTAAAAAGACCTGCTGTAGATAAAAAAAAAACAAAGTGCTACTTTGCACATTTTCTTAAAATGCCTGTGCTTAATATTTAATCATTTTCCTTAAATGAACTTCTATGATTTTCTTTTATTCAATTTCAAAGGAAAAAAAAAACATTTTTTTAAATCTTGATAAGTGGACTGCATTATTTTCTTGCATATATGTTGCACTGCTTAAACCAATAAGTGCACTACTGTTAACAGAGATATTATAGTTTTAGAAAAGAGGATTTTTTTTTTTAAATCTAACATTTGGTTGTAGAGTTCACATGTAATAGAATAGCTTCGTTTCAATTTATTCATTAAGTAATTCAGCGGTTCTTGGCTTTTGTTATTGCTTGCAGTTACCTACAGTATATACTTGTGCCGTGTTAATGCAAGCATTTATTTTTATTTAAATATGTACCATTACGTGTGCTCATCTATGTTTTAACCTTTGAATTCATTCTTTTATGGAGTACGCTCTCTATAACAGTTATTCAATTGCATTTCTTCACAAACAGACAGAATTTTCTTACAAGAACATCCAAGCCAAACAACATGAACAGTGAAACAACAACAGTAATAAAACACAACTCCCGTCCAACTCCGTTGGCGGAGGTAATAATAACTATTATTATATTATTAATAATAATACATTTATAATGTGTGTGTGTGTAACATAAATGATGTGTGTGTCCTAGAACAACTTTCTGTGGGTTTAAAGGTGTGGGGAGGTGATGGAATGCAGCTTCTTTGATATCTGTCTGTCACTTGTACACAGTTGTGTCCCTTCCTTAGTGTTTGTATGTCTGTGAGTGTCTGTGTGTGGTATATAGCCTAATCAAACTGTTGATAAGTGGAATATCTGAACTGTAGGGCTTCCTTAGCAATATGCAACGCAGGTACTATGAGAAGCAGCTCTCCAAACCTTTTGGGCTAATGTGGCACCTGTAACATTTGTTATGAGATTCGACTAAAGCAGAGGTCAAGTACCGTTGACTTTGTCATACGCGTTTGGAGGAGTTATTTCCAGCATTTTGATGCAAAACTTTATTTAATTGCTACTAGATTTCCTGTGGAGTCAGTTGAAGTGAAGTCAAGTGACCAACATGTGAGACACGGAGAGATTCTGTATTCCGGTTTCTCCCCCAGCTAAAAAAAGAAAATATTGACCCACACGTTAGAGGTATGCTGAAAAGGCGTGAGGTTAGTCTGCAGTAAAAGTAGCACATTATTTAACGTTTGATTGGGCCTGTCTCCTATGGTGTGCATATAAGCCTAAATTGTATGGTTCCTGTTTGTAGCTGTTGTTGCCAGGATGGCAATATTGCTGCATGCTAGTGCTATATTTGTCTCTACACAGCACGTGGAGGGTAATCTCATGCCTTAACAGACAATGCACTAAATAGAATATGTAAGCAACTGCCGAGATCTCTTTCCAACAGTACTGCCACATGTATGGCACACAGCTCATGATGTTGGTGTTTGTTGTCTGTTCAGTACCAAGTTAAACACTGCCAAACTAACATCATCACTTCTTTGAAAGCAAAGGCAGAGACATGAATTGAAATGTTTCAGTGTAATGTATGTATCCAGTAATCTAGCATTCCTTCATGGCACCTAAATTTTACATATTTTGTGTGAACACATATATCAAATGCACTATTGACTGTAGCTAGATGAGTACAACCAGCTTTGTGGTATCATTGGTCTAAATAGTAGGTTAAGTAGCTCGATGTTGGTTTTTGAAATATTTGATTTCAGAATTACACTATCAATTGTTTCTCTATCTTTTTATTTTTTTCGGAATAACAAAAGTAGCCAATCTCAACGTTATCTGGATGAGGGCTAATAACTCGTCCCATTGTCAGTTGACTTCTTGTATCATAAGGTGTTTGATAACAGACCAGGCTAGGAAGGGGAAGAACCTTCTCTCCAGTGTGTCATTACATGCTATAGCATACCCCAGGCTTTCTCTCCCCCTCCCCTCCCCTCCCCTCCCCTCCCTCCTCCTCCCCTGTTGCATTAGCATCACATGCTCTTCACTGTCCATAGTTATATATTCCTTATACTGCTTCAGCTACTCGTGGTGGTGCTTAATCCTCTTTTCTCAGTGTTGCAAAAAGTCGGTTGAAAATTGTTGAAAAGTTGCAACATTATCCAGAAAATAAGTCCTTATCTCAATCGTGCTTCTTCTAGTTGTTAGTTTGGAAAAAAAAAAAGTCTAGGCTTTATGTTTGCAAAGTGTTCGCATATTTTCCAGAACAAAACATATTGAAAAGTAGATAATAGCCTTGAGCCTGCAGCTGTTTGTATTGTGTTTCAAATATATTACTGTTCATGTTTTGTTTATCTTAGTGTAGAGACACAGGGTCTACAGTACATTGTTGTCCTTCTTGCAGTATGTTTAATTCATCGTTATACTTCTTTATTTCAGGCTTTCTCCTGCTTTTTTTTTTAATGGTGATCATAGTGGTGTTGTTTATACATACATAGCTTCATGCAACTGGATAAAGGATAGTCAGTTATTGAGTCATATGTCACAGTGTAATATACAGTATATGCTTATATGCTTTGCATTGAGATGAAAACAAGGAAATGGAAGATAGTAATGGTGAGGGTCATGTTGAGTAAGGAACAGGTTAATTTTATTCTGATAAGCATGTGTCTGTCTTCCTGTTTGTCTATCAGTCCGTCTCCACACATTTTAAGTCAGAATTTTTTTATTTAAGCCTGAATAAAGTCACAAAGTTAAGAGTAGAATACAGAAAACACATGAAACCATTCAGATAATACGTAACTGCATTGTTTTTTTTTGCCTTCTACAGTACACATAAGAGTGAAATAAATAACTTCTTACAAATATACTATATATATTTAAGTATCACCATCTCTACACAGATGAAGAATACATTTTCAGATAGTTTGATAAAGACATAATTGCAGCTAGAGTATACAGTACCTTGTGGGATATAGGGAATATGCCTATCAAGTGCCTATCAGTACATACAACTATACAGAATATTCATAGTTTTTCTCTCCTACATTGCACAGATACAGTATATACACAATGGTCTATTAAAATATACTATTTATACTATTACTGCTAAGACCTGGTGGTTGTGAGTGCATCCTAAGAGAACCCTTTAAAATACCTGAAATGTTCTATACATATACAGTAAAGGCTACATCTGCAAGTTTTATTTTGTAACTTACATCTATACAGTTTTGGAGGATTCAATGATATAAAATGCAATCACGTTTTTGACGTTTTATCGTCTAAATAAAAAAAATAGGTTGAGTAGGTTCAGATGGTTCCTGAAAAAAATAATTATGAAACATTGAATGACCTATTTTTTTTTTTTTTTTTTTCAGGTTGCTCAACCTCGTTACTGTTTGGGATATTACACATGCCGTTTTTTTTTTTTTTTTTTTTTCAGTTTTTTGCCATTTGCAAACAAGCCATATGCTGTACTGTATGTTTGTGGGGGAAGGGCAGTGGCATTTTGTGAACAGCAGAGGGAGCCACACATCAGCTGGAAGAGGTGGAGTTAACACGCTGCCTGCCACAATGAACGAAAACCCCAACTCAGATGTTTGGATATTTTTAAGATCTTGTTGCGGGTAAATATTGCAATTCTTCAGATTATAATAACATCTAAAAGCATGGCAGTGGTTACCTCCACTGGTAGGATCTGGCAGCTGCACTACTTTTTCAAAGTACACTATGTGTCCTTTGACCTTGATGACAGGCCCTTCCACATGCAAGCCAATGCCCAGTTTCCCAAGAACAATCATTAAAGTGTTATCTTATCTGACAGCATTATTGTTTACGTACAGCTTGAAATTGTAAAGGGCAACGAGCAACGTGAAAAAAAAAAAAAAGAAAGAAACTGGTCATTAAACGTTAGACTCACAGTAGATATTTATAACCACTACCTGGAGGAAAAAATGAGATTACAAATTGGAAGTTTTGGCAATGGCGAACACACAGGCAGCATTCAAATGTCTTTAAGTGGTCGGTTTAACAACATGAAAACAAAACTAAAATGAAAGTATAGTGGAATAAAAAAACAAATGAAGTTTCAGGACTGAGTGGCTGTGAGATAAAAGGTTTTGGGATGGCTTATTATTCTTTCCCCTGTGGACCAATTACCACAGTTTTCTCTCTAACCTTCTCCAGCCTAGTTACTGTGCCAAATTTAGGAGGAAAAAAAAAACACTTTTTAAATTATGCCACTGTTGTTAAATTAGATGTGAGAACCGAGCAGAAAAGCGAAAAAATAAAAGAATCTTTCTAAGTAAGAAATTTCTGTAAAGCCTATAACATGAACACAAAATGCATCATACCAAAAGCAAGTGATTGCTTCTATTTTGAATCTTTAAATCCTCCATAATACATTGTTTTCAAGTAAATAGGAGAAAACAGCTATGATTAACAAATGCACACTTTGAAGGCTTAGTTTCATATACATTAAATGTTAAAAAGGAGCATTGATAATATAGGCAATGTGATATAGCTAGTCCCTGTCATCCAACCGTCACACACTGACACACACAGACAGCATCTGCTCATATCTTACAGTCAAACCTTCAGATTCTGTTCTTACACACATACAGTGAAGCAGCTGTTCAGATTTAAAAGTACAACTCAGCTAAACTAAGCTATAATAACATCTAGATTATATTATTACTTTCTCCGAACATGCAGTTATTACACTACCATGATGAGGTTTTTAATAAAACGTCTTCATCAGGTAGCTACCATTGATCAGTCCAAATGAAGCATGCAGTCCTGTCTACACAGCTTTTTCCTGTAGGGGGTTACTTTGTTTTTCATGGAGCACAAACTATTTTTGAGTGCCCCTCGATAACAGGATTTCTGTATCTTTTAAAAAAAAAAAAACCTCACTATGGTGAGGAGGCTCAGGCGTGATTTAGCCTCTAAAGACTGAACACTGAGCCTCTTTGTGTTCTCACTCGCTGTAGTCTTTTTGGCTTAGTCCAGCTCGATGAGACAATTAGTTTTTAAAGTGTGCAGCAGCGTAACTAAAAACATGCATTCCTGTTCAAGTCCAGAACATTCCAACTCCTAGTCTGGCATTTGTTTTCCACACTTAACTAACCTAACATTAAGGAGGATTTCCAGCGCTTAATCGTTTTAAAGATCTGTTGGATATTTTATTATGTAGTAGCAAACATTGCCCATTACATCAAAGTTTAGTAAAAAAAAATTACATTTCCCTCAAATAGATCAGTTTTTAAATCTCATCTCGCTGTTTATTCAAATTCTGCCATGAGATCACGAACCTCATAAGCACCGCTTATGCTCGTATGGACTGGTTCTATAGACAACATGCACTATGCTATCACTCTGTTTCTCTATGTAGGTCTCTTTTTTATAGTGCAGCAGTGACGTAGAAAATCAAAAACTGCAAAAAGAGAAGCTCTTCTTCACCACGATGTTGGTCACTGTCTCAGCCAGCACGTCGTCTGCCATAAGGGACACGCAGACTTAGATCAAACATTTTTAGCACTGTAATGTTCCTAAAGGGGCTGCTGGTGGTAATTTGTAAAATGGGGCCATGCTAATCATTAGAGGTCAAATGGGGGAAGAAAAAAAAACTGTACTAGACAATGTTTGTTTTCACAAACCAAAGAAGGGTTAAGATAATTTAAGTTTTATGGAGAAAATAACATTTCTTTTCTGTGTGTGGGGTTCCTACGGTTGGGCTAGATTGCTACAGTTGTTTTGTTTTTTGGGGGGTTTTCTTTGTTTTTCTTCTCATTGCAGGGTGCTTGTGAAAATGCATCTATGTTTTGTCACTTGATCAGTTGTTTATAGTTTTGTGGTTGTGTTAATTTGCCTATTGTAGACCAAAATCTTTTTTTTTTATAAGAAATGCAACAAAAGATAAAAATGAATCTGACACAGTAGCTGTGATGTAAACTATCGCATGTTAAAACATGTATAAGATTGTAAATGTTGCATTGTTCCTCTGACAAAAAGCATAATACTCAATAATCACCGGTTACGTCTTCTATACACACACACATTTAGCAAATCAGTGTAGACCTGTTCACCTTCACATTGGAGTATATCGAAATAGTTTTGTTATAGCAGTTTTCTTCAAATATTGGCACCGTCTAATATTTTCAGGCTGTCCCTAAAATACTAATCTGATATTGTGACTTAAGAGTACATTTAGCCATTTACACTTGAGATGGACCAAGATGTTAAGTTTGCACATATTTGTAGGTTGTTTATTAAGCCAAAAAAAAAGGATAGAGAGAATAAAGATACAACTTTCAGTCAGATCTAGGTGAGGCGCTCAAGATCTCTGAGCAGATATTACAGTCGTTCATGTTCGCTGGGGAAAAAAAAAAAAAGCATCCAGCCATCACTACATGACGAAAATTAATTCAAAACCAAACTGTAACACGAATTTAAATATGACAATGTGGTCCAAATATTTATGAAAGTGATTACAATATATTTTTGTAATAACAACACACATCATCTTCAAGCGGAATGTAAACCATTTGGCAAAATCTGACAATATTTTATTACTGTAAGGTCTAATTCCACGTGAATCTGCTGTATATTTTTCATCCTGTGTGTTTAAAATAGGAAATTGAAATACTGTAATTCGGGTGATGTTTTGTACCTAGGGGGTGAAGACAGAATTTCTCAAATATTGCCATTACAAATCAGAAATGACATGTGTCCTAATCAAAGCAGCTTAGGTTTTTGTTTCATCTGGCTTTCAGGCTTTTTGCTGCCATATCTTGTATGTAGATGCTTTTTGTAAACATGCACTCGAGTTGAACTATGAGATGTGCTTATAAATATGTGTATATTTTGTTAGGCTCTTTTTGGCCTACGTTAGCTTGATATTTTATTATTTCCCTAAAAATACTTCTCCTATATAGTTATGAACTTGGCAGAAGTGGAGCTGTTGTAGTAAAGGTAGTTAACATCACAACTAAGCAACCCTGAAATATATGCTGCAGTAATGTGTTTTCAGTTTGTTTTTGATAATTTATGCTCCAAGTTGGTTTGTATTTTATTATTATTATTGTTATGAAACAAGCTTGTTTGAAATGTATTGACTGCTGTTTTAAAAAATAGGGGATAAAGTTTCTTTTTTTTTAATGTATGTGCAAGGACGTTTTTATAATATGATTTGTCAAACACTGGACTGGAGTGAGTTTTCCAACATTTCCAAGTTGAGAGATGTATTTGACAGACATAACTGCACAGACGACACCCGTTAGCACAGATGTGAGCTGACAGACAAAGCACATCCTCCCAGCTGTACAGGGGAGGGTGACTAACATGGCCGCCATCCTACCCACTCAAAAATAGGAGTCATTTAAATGTAAGAAGTTAAGACATTTCCTTTGTGCTGGTTTAATTGCATTCATTGGGTGATGGGTTATGTATAATAGAAAAATATTTATTAGGGGTTTCCTTCCAAATTGTTGCATGGCATCGACTGGTGACAGATTTTTTTTCTTTTCTTTTCTTTTCTGCAAAAAGAAAGAGTGCTCGCATAAATATTCAGAAAAAATCGTAAAGGGATACCACTTGACAGCTATCCAGTTATCAAAATCACCTGGTGTGTTCTTGCTATGGTAGAGCAGATATGACAGTTGAGTCTCATTACACCAACCACCACTTCTCAAACCAGAAAAGAGATTTGCACTAGACTTATTTTGGTCTTCTACTATCAAAAGCAATATAATTCACTCAACACATTTTTAAACCATAGTATGTGACGGTTGTCGCCCACAGTGGCAATGCTGAGTAAATGGTGATATTTGACAAGTTTTGATTTGTTTTGTTTTTGTATTCAAAGGTACAGAATCGGTCACCTTTTTTAATGCACATCCACGTGTTGTTGTTGTTCGTAGCAGGTTCTTTTGTACCCAGCAGTACCCCGAGTATTAGTGTCCAGATTTGAGGGGCATTAAAACTGTTGTTTCCTCCTGTGATTGTTTTGGACAAATCAAGCAGCTCTTACAGATCTGAAGTGAGAGACGGGATGTATGAGGGATGGAATCATTTCCCATGAGTCAAACTTGTCGATCGTCTTCATCACACAGCCAACAACATTATTAAAGATAAATACGAATACCAAAAGATAACCCCAGCAGTCCACTGTCCTGCACACCTTTAAAAACACTCGTCTTTCTCCGCATATTTGGTAACTTTTGAGTGCTTCTTGCTGGGATGTTACAAAAAAAATGCTTTAAAGTGAAATAATAATGAAACGCTTCTTAGAGGAAGAAAAAAAAAATCAAAATGCACCTTTTTTTGTCGTACAAACACAACATCATTGGCCACATAGGTAGAGAATCTCTGTCCACCAAAATGTATCATACGTCATCCTTTTTCCAACGAGGTCATTCACAACAGCAGTAATTATTGACCTTAACGTCGTTATTTTGTTGATGGATAAGTGTAAATTTTTCAATAATTCACAAACAGCAAAACTTCACCATTTTATCTGGATGTAGTAGCTTTCCTGTTTTCACCGCTTTGTGGTGTTGTTGAAAGATGTTGCGGTTTGTCTAAATATGTTGCGTGTTAGAGGAAGCATAAGTATGTGCCTTCTTGTAATCTCCTTGGTGAGCTTGTTATTATTGAGAAGCTGAAGCCAGCCAATTGTGTTTGCACTAAAACCAAATTGCTTTTGTGATGTAGACTATTTAAGCAAGCTTGTTGCGTCACTTTAACCGTACAGTATGCATGAGGGTGAAATTGGTAAGTCTAGGGCTAGAGCTCTCATCTGTTGACCTGTAAACCAGTGCAGCTTAGAGGATCTTGTGAATATATCTTGGCTTAGTTTCGCATTCAGTTTTCAATTCCATCTCCTTACTCATCAAGTTTGTCACAATTTCAACAGTTCAAAGAAAAAATTAAAAAAATCAAATAAAAAACAAGAAAAAAAAGCAAATAACACATACCATGAATACAATACAGCTTTTACTTTCACATGCCACAGTTAGAGAGTTACACAACTGCAGCAGAGATATTACTTTCTCTGAATCCATGGGAATGCATGAGTATACGAGGTCGCCTCAAGACTATTGGTCAAATTAATTTAGGTTGTTTTTTGAAAACTTGTATTTATTACACATTTTGTTGACATCTAAGAAAGACCTATATGCTTTGAGTCTTACAAATGCACCTTATTCATGTCAGTCCATGTGGGGAAAAAAAAGGCTGGCAATGTAATATCTCTGATTTAGCACCTTACTACACAGCATGTTTTCACTTTATGCCAGTTTAGCTATTCTTCCATATGTATGATTTCAAAAATAAATCTCATATTTTGTGAAATTGTTTTCATGGGATGTGCCAAAGTTTGGAGGCGATCTCCCAAGTGTTTATGCTTATCATTTTCTTTTTCTCCTCCTTCAGTTATAGCAATGGTATGTCAAAACTTTCCTATAACAGTGTGTGGAATCAATTTATCTCAGCAAACAGTATCATTACTTGCCATTTTACAATAAGCCCTGTATTTCACATATATTTACCAGTGATGTGTATTTGTTATTATAAAGAAAATAGCCGTAAAAGCTTCATTATGTTACATAATATTGTGACTTTTTTCGAAAAACTGTGAAGACTTATCTTGCATATACTTTATACAGAAGTATTAAGCCTTAATACAAAAGACTAAAAAAAGTGTGGAAGAATAAACTGATTGTTGCTAAGTAAGGATGATTTTTGTAAATGTTACCAGCACTTTTTTTGTAATTTTCACTCTCTGAGGTATTGTACAAGTTCAAGCTGTTTGTGAAGTTTGATTATGAAGGAATAAAAACTAGTACTTTCCTGTACTTCACAGAAGGTCTTGTTGCTGTTTTTCTTTTTCTGTTCTTCTTTCCGGGTGTTTTTTCTCATGAATATAGTGCCCAGAAATATATACAGAAAGTAACCTTTTGTCTTTAAAAAGGGTAAAGTTTGTGCAATAAAGCTTCCATGTGCGACCTTTCACATGACTGCACTGCCAAGAACTACAAACTGACTTCTAATGAATGCATAAATCCAGATAGATAGATAGATAGATGGTATTCTTGGTGTAAATATAATCAAATAAATGAGCTGTATTAGCTGAAATGAAGCCCATAAATAAATGCTCATGTGTGTTGATTCCAAATACAGTTGGAAGTGACTTAATAACAGGCTGGATGGTATCCCAGAATGCACTGGGCAGAAGGCAGGGAACACCCTGGACAAGCTGCCAGTCCATTACAAATGTAACGGTGATCAATAAACAATCAGTCACACCTCGGTTCACACCTGCTGAACAGGCGATTCGAAGGTGCAGTCCTCTTCACTCACAAGTGTTTGGACTGTGGGAGGAAGCCGATGCAGTCAACTACGTAAACTCTGCACAGAAAAGATTTTCCTGGAAGCAGATCCTGGGTCAGTCCTGCTGTGAGGTGTCTGGACAGTGTCACAGCCACCAGAACGCATCAATATGAGCCTTTATTGATTCTCCTGATTCATTTTAGACTCTGTGCTGCAAGATTAGCTAACAGATGAGTGTTAAACTGATCTCTAATAACCACCTTTAACAGTCATTGAGAATAAATTAATATCCTCTAATGTAAGCGCAGTCAGTTTTTAATTAAAATAGTCTGTTAATGTCACAGTTATGGCTCCTTATACTTGGGTTGTAATCTGGTAAACACATCAGAGAACAATAAAGAAGACGCTCTGCATTGTATTCAAATACTGGATTCACTTTGTATTGAAATATTGGTGTGAAAGATTTATTTGGTGGAATAAATTATAAGCGTTTATGAATTCAGAAGGAACTCGTCTGGTTGGAAAAACGATGGTTGCTTCACACAGGGATGGCTATTTATTTTCTTTATTTATTTTACTCTGGACTGTTAACATTCTTCTTAGCTATCAGGTTTAAATATTGGCTAAAATCACACTGTTGACATTAATGAAAAATAGTGGCAGCCTAATTAACAAAATTATTTATTATTTTAAAAAGAATATATTTTTTTTAATTGTGTGTAAAGTTAATCACAGTCGTACCTGATCATAAATCGGAGCCATAGATGTTAGGAGTAATGTCTGTGACACACAGATCAATAAAGTCTGAGGTAAACTGCAAAATAATATAAATGATCCTTTAATAACCAGCGTTTGCTTATTTATTCATGCAAATATAGTTCATTTATCTTGTGATAGTGATGTATTGCGTTATATTGTGCTATTCTGAACAAAGGGAAGGGGACAAAACAGCCAACCTATAACTTGATATTTACACTAACGCCCTGTCATGTATGAACACCTGTAAACTGGGACTGAGCCTTCATGAAGCCACTGAACACTCTCAGTATGTATCAGCAGCATTACACTGATGCTCCTCCACCTTGGTACACTGGGCACACACACACACACACACACTTAATACTCACAATATGTCTGATAAGGAGATAAATCAGATTCGGCTTTAAGACACTCCTCATTGAGAAACTCGAGCACGCGCAGAAAGGCAACGGGAGCGCGGGAGTGTCGCACTCGTTTGCAGCGGGCGCCCCCTGCCGTCGGTCCCCGGTATCTCAGGCCGGATGGAGGATTAAAACCAGGGAGGAGTGTACCGTCAAACTTCCGCTTGTGTGTGTGTGTGTGTGTGTGTGTGTAATCACCGCTAAAATGTCACGCTGGCGGTGTCTTCTCCTTCACGTGACGTTGCAGGAAAACATCGTGTTTCATTCATATTTTCTATTTAAGAACCTGTCGTGTTTACCTGTCCGTGAAGGGAGAGCTCCTGTGACGCATCAAGATCAGATAATGTCTATACTTAAAGGAGACTTTGTAGATCATCCCGGATCAAATGTAGTCTAATACCAAGTCTGAGGTCTAGACGGGTGACCTGGTTGTCAGATGTACCTGGATGTAGATAGTGAGGTAGGTATTTATGTAGTCGAACCTTTATCAGCCGGTATCTGTCACACCTTGTGTTCAGGTTTGTTCCAACATGTATGCAGTCAAGCGAGGACACCCACACCCACACACACACCTTTAATTCATTCACACACTGGAGTTAAGTTTCATACTGCATTAAGCATCTAGTGTCAGCTGTCAATTTCCATCCAGTTTGTCTTTAAGACAGCTAGGCCACCTGGATGTATTGTGGTTAATCTGCGTAATAGAGTGGTAAGTTGGTCTTAAAACCTCAGTTTTTCCATTAATTTAGTGTAGTATTCATTTACAATCCTTACAAATAGTGAATATTTTATTTCTCTCAAAAACTAGTTATTTGCCTGCTGTTTAATAACTGAGTTAACGCTCCTGAAAGTTAATTTAGAGCTGTTTTAAGAGGTATTCTGAAACTAAATTAACATTATCGGCTACTGACTATCAGCAGCCTGTCAACACACTTTCAAAGGAGCCAACACTCAGGCGTTCTACTCTACAATCCTAGTAGTGACCACGGTCAAACCAGGAAGGCTCAGGAAGAGATAAGCGTGAGTAAATATAGCAGTTGGGTGTAATCCACTTCGTGCATTTCATTATCCAGTGAGTGCTCATCTCATGCACTGACATTAGAGGAGACAGTCGACATCAGTGGTTTAGTTTGTTCCCAGAATAAATTTATTCGAGTTGGGACCATACAAACCTAGTGAATGACAGGAGGAGGTATCGATTTCTTTAACAGGAATGACATTGGTAAAGAGGGTGTGGAACGTTTAAAATCATAAAGATGCACAACGTACAGCCATCGCCCACAGCTAGGGGTGAGACACTATAGTTTGTTCCCATAAATAAGGCAGAATGTTGAGTCCATAGAAATGGAAAGTTATTACATTTAGCCAAATTGGACAGTGATGTGACAATATGAAGACTTAGATGACTTTCTTCAGCTCATCGTACAACACCAGCACGAAGGCGCCGCCCATGCCTCTGAGCACGTTGGACCAGGCTCCCTTGAAGAAAGCCTTGCCACCCTCGTCGCGTGCAATCTTACGCCAGCAGTCAATGGTCCCGCTGTACATGATGTCAGCTGAGGAGGGTAAGAAAAGAGCAGGAATTAGATAACGTGAGCAGACGTAAGCTATCACAAAAAGAACAGTGTCTTTGGAGCAGCAGGCTTCGATAAACACAAATCAACTCACCTCCTTTGCGTCCGGACTGCATCATCATACGTCTACGGACAGTGTCGAAGGGATATGAGGTCAGACCAGCGACGGCTGTGACGCTCTGTGCGATCATCCAGCTCACCAATATGTGGGTATTCTTGGGGTCTGGAAGCATACCTGTAAAGAGAAGAGGGGGGAAAAGAGAGGTTTAGAAGACGTAAACTAGCTTCTTTAGAGGTTTCAGTGTGAGCCAGTGTGCAATCAACCTACCCTTAGCTGTATCATAGATTCCGAAGTAGGCAGCCCTGTAGATGATGATGCCCTGCACAGACACGTTGAAGCCCTGGTACAAGCCTTTCAGACCATCAGACTTGAAGATCTTAACCAGGCAGTCTCCGAGACCATTGAACTCTCTTGTGGCTCCAGCCTTTCCCACGTCAGCGGCCAGACGGGTACGGGCGAAGTCGAGGGGGTAGACGAAACACAGAGAGGTGGCTCCGGCGGCGCCACCGGAGGCCAGGTTACCGGCGAAGTACCTCCAGAACTGGGTGCGCTTGTCGACGCCATCAAGGAAGACCTTCTTGTACTTGTCCTTGAAGGCGAAGTTGAGGGCTTGGGTGGGGAAATATCTGATGACATTGGCAAGGTTACCTCTCCAGAAGGAAACGAACCCTTGCTCCTTGGGGATACGGACAACACAGTCCATGATACCCTTGTACTGCATATCAGCGGTGATCTGCTTGCTGGCATGTTGGACCTGTAATAATGGAAAAAGAGAGAAAGGTAGAGTTTAAAACAGGAAAGCCAATTAACTGCTGAGCATATGTCAATCACACAGTCTCCTTGTTGTGACCTTGGTACATGTCGAACCTGTAAAAGCACCTGTAAAGGCGCCATTAAGTACAATATAACAGAGCTATCAGTGAGAAACAGCAATCAAATGATAATGGCTGCAATGCGTAATATGCCACGCACTTGTTATTTTCGAGACATCTTCTAATAATCAGATAATTTTCATAGAAAGGCGGACGGTTGTCGGTGTATGAAGGTGTAGGAACAATGTCGCAATGCAGCTCGGTGAGAAATGGATGTGAAAGTAGTTGACCCGGCGGTGGATCGACCGTCCCGGGCCTCGACACAGACATCGCACTTACCGCTAGCTAACGTCTTGAGATACATGAGCCACCATTACGACATCTTTGTCAATTAAAGCTCAAATACAGTCCACGCGTCGCCCCCTCGCCGCCGCCTATGGAGTAGTAGAGTTGTATATAAATAAGAAGTGTTGTTATTTCTCTGTACACAATGTCCCGACACCACTACGAGGGTTTGTCCTTTGTTAGCTCCCGGGGCTAAGGTTACCGAGAGAAGCTAACGTTAGCAGCCAGGCTCCTGTAGGTCATTTCCTCCATCCGGTGATGACCTCCACTCCTCTCACACATCACTCCTAAAACTCTCTACTTCTGCATTAAAAAAAAAAACACGTTGTTACCGAGTCCTGTGCAAACCCCGAGTCCGCGGGGACGTTTTGATAAACCGGCTGTCACACGGCAAGCTAGCAAAATCACACAAGCTACCCGGCTACATGAGAGCGCCTTCCGGAAAGAGAAAGACTTCAAGACTTTTACCTGCAGGAGAAGCTTCACTCTCTCGATGGGGGCGACTGCTGTCTTGGAGATGGCCGCAGAGATGCCACCGGCCAAGAAGTCCTTGGCGAAGGAAATCGCTGTCTCATTCATGCTCATGATCTCGATGTGCCTTTGAAACAAGCAGTACAGATAGATATAATACCCCGCTGCCCTCTACAGCTGATGGCCCGCACAGACGAAATGGCCGATTGTGAAGCTGCGTCGGTGATTTATATAACGCGGTGGCTCGCGATACTAAACGGGAACTTGTGATTCGACGACGCTCGCCAATCCCCGACGTCACGAGGCTCTCTCCGCCAATTAAAAGAGAGAGAGAGAAAAAAAAAACCACACAGTTTAGGCGGTGACGTCATCACGTTGCGTAGGAACGCGGTGTCCCGAACAGGCTAAACGTAAAGTGGACTAAATTTAGGGCAGAAAGCCAAATTAGTTACCCCGGGGACTTTGTTCTTATTTGGTTCTGTGCCCAGAGTCCCGCCCCCGGAGGCAATAAAGACAGCTGCCCCCGGTCGGTCACACGTCGGGGCTGTGCATCATACTTAAGGAAAGTTATAGGGTCGTACCGAGCTTCAAGGACTTCACAGAGAGCCACCATGATACTACATAATATTAAAAAATAAAATAAAACAATACTTTACAGTGAGGTGCATTCCTCTATATGAACAGGATTTATATAACCTGTAACTTATTTACTAATTATTAACATACATGTGAGCTGAACTGAACTAACACTTGTGTGCTGTTTGTAAAACATGGATGTCAATGTCAGTGATGTTGTTGAGCAACCCGCTGTCACGTGTCTACACTTGCTCTGCACGCAGCACAAGTTAACGAGCTCACCCGCTGAAATGCTGCATGCTCGTGTTTATGGCGAGAGCTGGTTTATGTTACTGCGTATGTCTGCATTACATTAGGCCCCACATTTCAAAATAAAAGTTTCATTCATCCCTTCATCCAGTTCGGGTTCGATCAAAGTTGTCCACTAGAGGGCGGCAAGAGACCTAATGTCTTTATTCAGCTGGAGAACATAACCCACACAGATCTGCTGCATGCAGATGGATATAAATTACTAATGAGCAGAATAACTGAATATTTAAAAATGCATTGGAGGAATATTTTGAAATGCCAAATGGTGACTATTTAAAAAATTATCTATCTATCTATCCTAATCTATCTAATCTATCCTATCCTATCTATCGTAAATCTATCTATTATCTACTCTATTCATGAATGAAAAGCATGTAAACTAAGTGCCATTCATTACATTATTTCCACGATCCAAGAGACTGATATGACTTCCTGTTGCACTCATGATCTCAGTGTTGTGGCAGTATGTTGTAGTGCCTCTTATATGTTCCTGTGACAGATTGAATGTTTTATTTAAAGTCTCATTCAACCACAGAACTGGAAAAATATGTTTCTCATTCAGATGATGCCAGCTGTTGAATGTAGTTGTGTCCAGGGCCTTGTTGATATATTATTATTCATATTATTATGCCAAACCATATTTATATTTTGAGCCTGTTCTGATTAAAACTCTGGCAGTGCAGTAAATACCTTTATCTCCCAGTAATACACCGGTGCATCTGTTCATTGACCTGTGCATGTGTTCTGTAATGAACAGTGTAGACCAAAGGGAGGAGCTGCTGTGCTGCATGCAGTCTGAGGGACGCCACAGATTGACTTCTAAAGCTGGAGCAGGCCAAGATAACAGTGAATAAAACACACTGGGAAACTAGTTGTACAAGATAATTCACCATAACTGTAGTGTGAGAGCAGTGCAAGGTCTCCTGCTGCCATAGTTACTGTTGCCTTATAGCTTACACTGCTTTGTTGTTCTTGTTTGGTTGGATGCGTATTTTAATGACAGTCACTGTCCTCTTGTATTTTTATTGCCACTTGAGCATCCAGTTGAACAGGATGTGTAAATTAATCCACTAATCTCCCCGCTGTCTTTTAATTAGAGTGAGGACAACAGGTCAGTGACATGCACTTTGCAATTTTAAATAGCTTTTGTTCTCTTTTAGTGAGAGGCAGCAGTGGGTTTATTTAATCATATTTTTAGTGCAGTATTTTTCACTGTAAATTGGATAATTTAATGAACTTTAGAGAATTTGTTCTACAAACATTTATAAATGGCTTTAAAGTGAAAAAAATAATCAGTGTTCAGTTAAAATTTATGATCCAGTCTGCAGTCAGTCTGTTGCTGCTGTTCTTGTTTCCTTCAGAAGGTGCAAAAATTGCAGCTGCTGTGTCAAACTCACAAATTTGTGTTTATATCCTGAATAATGCAGAGAGTGGAAGCCTTACAGTATCTCTACAGACACAAACTTCATAGTGAAGCTGTTTGTTTGGATAAATAAAAGAGACAAAACTCAGGAGAGCACCACTCGCTTTGAGTATTTCTCAAGGCATGTCACCCCCCCAGGACCAACCCTCTCCACCCACAGGTCAGCCTCAACAGTGGAACAAGTAAAGATTTCACACTCCCAGTCCTGCTGTAAGCTGATACAAATGGAAAAGACTGGTGGTGCTGCAGACTTGTCTCAAGGCAGAGGAGGGAACATATTTAATTTAACATTTAAGCTCACTTCAGCAGACACATAAAGGCACCTGTGGGAGCAAACAAACAAACCAATATTTCTTCCAGAAACAAGGTTCAGTCAGACAGGTCCAAATGGAAACAGCTCAGTCTTGCTTTGTCTGCTTCTTCAACACTTTTTTACTGAATGGTACAAGACCCATTAATACAGTGTCAAGGTCAAAGCCACTAATGTTCGTTCTGTGGAGATTTCACTTTAAATCCATTAAAAAACAAAAAACAGCTCGGTTAATTAAGTGGATTAGAGATAATTCTTTTGCTAAACACAATTGACTTTTCAATGCAATCTATAATAAACACCTTGTGTTGTCCATCATGTTGATGCCTGAACTTGGCTGCATCAACCCAGCTGTTCTCCCAGAGGAAACATTTTAACATCTCACGGGCATATGTGGGGGGGGGCAATCAAATTGCGCCTTTAACAGAGATGTGCCATATGGTCTCAGCGCCCTGATCTCAACTCCGGCTGGACAACTGGAGCTGCGACGCAACTACGCGCAAGTCCAAATGCGACACAACTCACAGATGGAGGCTGTGGTCTGACTGACTGACTGTCTGACTGTCTGACTCTGACTGACTGACTGGAAGTGACTGGCTGATCAGCGGAAACTTTCTTTGGATCAATGTTTTGGAGATTTACCGAATGCGTCCGCTAGAGATCAACACAACTGGGATCCGAGAAATAAATGGGACAACAAAAATCGCGAGAACTTGAATTGCTCCGGTTGTGTGCACGGTTCAGTTTGGCCAACTTTGTGCACTAGCACCCTCCGATCTGCCTCAATCTGTCCGTGCGGGCGCAGCAGCAGCAGAGGAGGAGGCGGCTGGATGTGGCAGGAGTCGGGTCACTGAGCTGCAACGAGCCGGGTGCGAGTTTTCCCAGTCCACAAGTCCCCAATGTCACCGGACAGGATGATGATCTTTGGACTTCTGCTCAGTGTCTTCTCTCATGGTACGCAGTATATTTATTCTTTCCAACAGCTGGCTGAGATGTAAAATAGCCCTTATAACCACACCGCTGAGATTGTGTCATTAATTTAGTCTGTGGGGCTCAGAGTGTTTGTTCTCTTGTGGAAGACACCTTGTCTTTCAGTACCCAGAAGTTTTTTTTCTTTAATGCAAATGTCTGTTGAATACCAATAATTATAGACTCTAACGAAGTCCCAGAGGTCAGACCAGATGCAAGAACACTGGATTTCAGATTATAATGCTGATAATAATGTTTTTGGCTTGATTTAAATCCCCCAGACTCTGATAATAATTTAGACATGGTGACTTTCTGTAAATTATCTGCAGATAGTTTAGCTTATGTATGTAATCTGACAGAAGATCCTTATTTAAAAGAGAATAAAGGGGGAGAGTCTGAGATATCTCACTTTCAGATGATAACATTATTACCGGTTTGAGTAAAACTTTTGAGATGACCCTCAAAATAACATAAAATAAGTAACTATAAATCAGTTTAGCATCCATCATATCTGCAGCAATAGATTTTACATCTGGATGACATCATTGGTTCAGGTCTGTTATTTCTACCTTGGACTCGTTCCAAAAAAAGAGCTGTTCATCTCCCAAATATTGATTGGACTGTCCCGGATCATGGAAATATCACACATGAATAGTTAAACTAAATAAGGTCCTCCTCTGCATGAAAGCATTTTGGCTTCCACATCATGTAAATCATTGAGATTTTATACGAGTTGTGCATTAGAGGATGATAGGATGAAATATGAAAGCCAAAAAATTCCTTACTTTGTGGCAGCAGCATAACGGAGCAGATTGTGGTGTCACTGCTTTAAAAGTCTTTGTCTTTGCTGATGATCAAATGGGCAAAAGATGGTGAAAGAACTGTCTGTGATGTGTGACAGTACAGTAGATTAAATTGAATTCCTCAGCCACACATGCACTCCTGCAAAGTGAGTTATATTCATTGAAGTCAATAATGTGACTGTGGCTGGATAAGAAATCTCCCAGCGGAGCATACAGCTTGTTGATCTGTGGTCATTTATATTGAATTATGTCATTTTGGATCATAAGTGTTCTTCAGTGCTTGAGCTGGAGCAGAAGTTATTTTTCATTACTTGAATGCAGTTGCCTACAGGTCCTGTATCCTCTATTGTTTAAGACAGACCACAGGAAACATGAAACATAGCTCCACCACTGTGCTCTTCACTGTAGAAATACATGTAAATGCTGTAATTGTTAGGATTATTTCAATATTACCGAAGGTGTGGGATTCGCCGCCTCCAGGAAAATTCAGATAATGTCGGGTGAGGCTGCCATTATAGAGATTAGTATCTTAAAATGATGAATGTTTTCTTGTGAATGTCAAACCTTTCAGGCACCCAGTATATCAGCTGGTGTGTCAAACCCACCTGCCAGGGACTTGGGTGGAATCACAACAAGAAAAACTGTTATTTTCAAGCGCTATTTAATAGACATCTGAGCCATTGCAGATGCAAATTAGACAGACTGTCATGATGTTCAATTCTTCCATTATAGCTAATTGCAAAATAAATGATCGAATGTCTGTTTCGTCAGTTGCCTCCACTAGAGAAAAGAGAAATCTATGCAAAACTCACTAGACTTTAATCTGGTTTTCCAGCCTAATCAGAGACTGTTAAGTCTAATGGGCATTTTCTTCTGAACTGTTTTTCAGGTTGTACAATGTCATTTTTACCTTGTAATATATCTGGCCAACCCTGTGACATAAACAATGGAAGCGGGGACTTCAGACAACAGCCTTCCCAAAATGTCTGTCACCACTGAGGCTCCACAGAGCTCAGGGCTGACCAGTGCTATCGTTAATGTGTCCTTACGGGATTGAAACGTCCAAAATGAAAGAGGGGAATTGCGCCTGTCTGTACAGATTACAGATTTTCTAACTAAAAGTCCCACAAAAAGATTTGTCGTCTATAAAACACATTTTACAATATATAAACTGTCATTTTGAATGTAGCCTACCTTTGTCAGAAAAATCAATGGAAAGCTGGCTATTGTTGAATGACATTAAACCTGACTTTGACCCTTTGCTGCGAGGCCTAGATTATTGCTAAAGTCCCAGTACGGTCGGCAACTGGTGAGTGTTGCTATTTCCGTTCTTCATTTAGTGGACGAGATTGAGCTGTAACACAGTTGTCATAAACTTACTAGAGCTCCTTTTCCAGCTGTGTAAAGTTACACGAGTTTTAGGTGGACTGATATCCACAAGCTCGAGCTCTTTCTATCCAGGGTTTGACTGTTTGATATACATACTGTCTGTAGGGGTTTGACACTGGTTTATCCAATCCTTGGCTTCTTTATCTTCCACACTGTGCTGTAGACTCTTCTTTTTTTCCCTCTCTTTCTGCTGAGGTATTGTCTTCATGTACTCTGCCTGTAATTCAGTTTCGTTTAGGCCGACAGCACACAGAGATTAAACTGGCATCTTGCCCACTGGACATTACTTAGATAAAAAGAACATAAAATACAGTTTCTGAATATGCTATTATTTGATGTTGTTCTTTAAAGAAGTCATTTTAATTAAAATGCTCACATCAAGGATAACTTTAACATGAAAGAATGTGGGTTTCTAAATGCCGTCAGATTTCTACAATATAAAGTTCATTGAATGTTAATTATTATCATTTTTGTGTCATTACCTATTTTACTTAATTTGTATGTGTGTGTGTGTGTGTGTGTGTGTGCTCTGCATCTTGATTGTCACTTGCACACACACTTGATGGCACCAACAAAAACCCACAGCCTGATGGAAACAGTCGATCTGTGTGTCGCTGTCTGGCCAAGAAATTATTTGGCACTTGGTGATTTAGGACCCCACCAGGCAGCAGAAGCCTCAAATATTCACACAGCTCCACACATCCTGGCTGATGCGGCACCTGATGCAAGTATGTATTTCACCTGGACTACAGAGGAGGGATGCTGCCTGCGTGATGTGGCTGCTCAATCTAGCGGCACAGCTCATTAAACAAGACCTTATCCATGTACTGGATGCTGCAGGGCAACTGTTAATTCAGAATATTAAATGACGATTCTTGTGCAAACTAGTACAGTTGTCCCCTTTGGATGCTTGGACCATGTCGGATTATTATGCTGAACAGGCATAATCATTTTGAACATCTTCGAACCCGCCCTTATTACTAACAACCTTCATGTTATGTGGTCTCTTTTGGTTGCTCCTATCTCTACTGTATGCCATAATAATGAGAATGGTCACACCCTGAGTTGATTATTCCTCACTGCAAGTGTTCATCTTGTAGGAAGCTGCATCGAACTGCACATAATTCCAGCGCTGGAGTCGTCTCTGTGGGGTGTGCGCACAAAACCTGATTAAAGCAAGTACAACTGTGCTGCACCTTTCAACAGCCCAGTCTCACAGAGCGTCAGTCTTGTTAGCTTGCACAAATTGAGGCGCAAACAAAGGTGTAAATTGACTATACATGCAAAGCAGTTTTGGGCAATTTTGGGATCAATGTGTCAGATTTTATTCAACTTTTGGGACAGAAGCTAGCAAGGCACCTGTCTCAGCTGGTGTTGCATGATTAAATAAAACTGCAGATTTTTGTGTAGACAGGGTTTTGTTGACTTTGAAGTGGACTTTGTACAGAAGATGCATTGTTATTGCTCTGGTTATTGAATGAGACTGTACACTGTGTGCAATCCTGGCACTCATTTAACCTGCCATAGCTGTGATCCTGACGTGGCCATGCGAAAAAAGCCACAGGAGCCACTTGTGGAAAGATGTGGAACGGACACATGCAGTGTGGAGAGATTTTGGATGATTTTGCCAAATTGGAGGCAGAGAGTTAGAGAATAATGAAATCCAGCAGGTACAGCAAAATGGAGGGAGCGAGGTGGAAGGAGCTGCTGAGAGTGAGAGAATAACAGGGGAAAAAAGATTAAATTGATCATTGAAATTCAAGTTTTTATGGGGCAAATTCATTTGTTTAATAACAGTAACTATAGCTGAGGTACTTGGAAGCTGTGTTTAGGTTTTCTGTTCATGTGGAAATTTACTCTGGGAAGTCAGAAATCCACAGTGCCTAACACATCTGAAGAAAATGTCATCTGGGTCAAAACGGCATGTACGGAAGTACATGCCGTTTTGAAATTGTGTGAGGTAGTTCACTCTGAGAAAATAAGTACTTTTTTTAAAAATCAAACAGAACTTATCCTGTGTCTCTACCAAGAACTATTAGAATGAGGTTGCCCAGGGCAACGCCTCAATATGTGCAAACTTTTAAGCATATGTTTAATGTTAATAGATAGTTGAATGTTAGATGATTGGTGGAAAGTGCAAAATTTAGAGCTCAGCAGAATCGACTGTGTCAATAATAGCTCACACAAGCTTTAATCAGCACTGATTAACCAGCTGTGTCCCTCCTGAGGAAACACGTCCCTCCGCTGGTCCACAGACACAGGACAGCAAATAGGAAGTTTGTTCCAATATTCAATCAAAACCAGCAGTTTTCAACAAGAAGTCAGAAACTGACATGTCAAAGTGAATCCGTGCAGAGATGGTGCAGCGTTTTTAATTAAACTTTACTGTGTTTGATTTTAGGAATGAGAGTTTTTTTCGTTTTGTTTATTTTTAGGCTTTTAGGCTTGGTGTCTAATCGACTAGTTACTAATGTTTATAAAGACCTCCCTTGCATTTGCCATCTGCTCCAGTTTTAAATAAATATATATATTTTGAATGTAGTAGCTTAAATCAGAATTAAAACAGGCATTTTGGCAGGAAAATCATTACTTTCACTCGAACATGCTCTATTGTTCTGCAGCTTACTTGCTTCCATTTATTAGTCCAGTGTTTTCTCTTAAGGTCAATTACTGCGTTTACTTGAACATTAACAGTCCATTAACTGGGGATATTTATAGTTCACGAGTAAGAACGTATCAATACTATAACCTATTACATTTATATCAACCAGGATAAAATTATAAAGCTCAAATATGATGGTTATAGATAAGTTCTGCAAACACTATCTCATGTTCAGTGAATCACAGCATCGAATTACTGAACACAAAAGAACATTTGTTAAAGTTCAAAGCTGAAAAAGTCATTTCAGCTATGAAAATACAGTTGAATTTATTGTTTGTTAATTGTTGGCTCTATAAAATGTAAGAAAAATACTGTAATGTCAAATGTCCATCACAACAACACACTGTAGACAAAGAGAAAGCAGAAAATATTCAGATTTTGACAAATCACTTCAGCTCAACTCACAACAAAATATAGCTACAGATTCCAGTTCACACCATAGCGGGCCTTTAAGTGGCACATTAATGTGCATGTAAACACATTGAGTACAGTCCACTCAGGAATCCCACTGGTTTGACTGCAGGTGAGGTGAATGAGTGTGAGTAGTAACAGGTCGTAGGAGTCATGTGCATGTTTCTCCAGTCTCACTTTTTCTCCATCCATTTATTCACCTTGCTGCCATTTCCTCCTCGAGCCTGCCACTTCCTTCCAAGTCCTTTCTGTCACGATCTCCGAACACATTTCACATCAGAGTCACACAGTCTTGCCACAGTCTCCTCTCAACTCAAATTACTGCCCAACAATCTGGACGCTCTGCTACTCATCCCACGCGTTTGAAAGAACGGAAGAGAAATTCGCCAAACCGGTTCGTTCCCTGTGAATGTGATGTGTGGTTTGTCGTTTATGGCGTTAACCTTCATCAGCTTTGCCTCACAAATTCTATTAATCACCCCAGTGAGAAATCAATAGGGTGTAGTATTATGGCTCCCATATCACAGTAATTCATCTCCCATTCGCTTTTCTCTCCTTTTTCTTTAAACATACACTTTGTGCTCAGGCTAACAAGTCTTTTGCTTTGGCGATTTGTTGCATTTCAAAGAGCACAATGTGAGCCTGGTGCTTCTTTATCATCATGGCATTAAATAGTGTTCAAGTTATTAAAATAATTATGACCTATCTGCTGGCTACTAAAGATTTAACAGAGCTGCTCTGTACTTTATATACATTTTTCTTATCTATGTGTGTGTTGTGTGTGTGTGTGTGTGTGTGTGTGTGTGTGTGTGTATGTGTGTGCAAAGAAAGTCTCTGAGAAACTAAATTTGCTGATAGTCTCTCTTTATCAATGGTAAGCCTGAGGGAGCAAACACTGAGAAGGAATAATGAATGAGACTGTTCACTGCCCAGACAGGAGATTACATGAAGCTGGTTTAAAATGGCAGAATGTAATACTTTAGTATAATTATCAAGGTATCATGATACATAGATAGACAGGTAATCATCACCTTTACATACCTAGGGGAGCTGTGAATGTGAGTATGACTCGTTGCTTTGTGTGTTACTAGTATTTTTTCCCACCTCTCCCCGTGGATTCGCTGCAGTAGCCTTGGCAGGTTTCCTGCAGCGGTGATGAAGCGGAGCCTCTGTTTATGATATGTCTCATGCCAAAGTGAGACGTGGACCTCATGTGGAGCCTGAGATTGCAAAACATGCAGCAGCAGAATTGGATTGCAGCCGTGCTTTGTGCCACCAGTCAGCAGGAGCTTAATCGAAGTGTGTGACCGATGTAACACAATGCTGTGTGTCTTTGTGCACGAGCTTGTGTGATGTATATGTTAATGTACTGAAGCATAAATACATGTGAGGATAAAATAAGTATAGATATTTGTTAACAGGCATGCATTAGGTTCAAACATAAACAGTTACTCAATTTATTTCTAGTTTTAAATGTCTGCCAGTCTATTTCTTCTTTGCAGTCAAAAAGTGACAGGATATAGCAAATTAACAAGATAAAGCGGAAACAGTGTGTGCATATTGCCTACCCAAGCTATTTTCTGTCTCTGGAATCACTGTGTATAAAATGTAATTTGTGGGAACAATTATGTGTCACATTTGAGAAAATAATTTCCTGAAATGCTCCATCAGAATGCATTTTTATGAAGAGGCCTTTCTTTTTTTCTCTCTCTCGCGTCTCCCTTAGGCTGCCTCTGGCCTTCCTGTATTGTGTTTTCATGGAGAAACAATCATTATTATGAAATGATTTGTAGTTTTTCACTTTCAGTTATTCTAGACAGAACACTGACAATAAAAACAGTCCTAATGCTTAATGACCATGGACCAACACAACTGTTTTTCTACTGAATAATGTATTCGTTTTAAAGGAATTGTAGTTGCTGATATGCAGCACATATGTACTCAATGACCCTTGTATAACTTAATGGGATGAATCCTTTAAAATATATATATGGCTGATGTAATTCTACAATATCTTCAAGTAGCATATTTTGTAGGTGCAACATGTGTTGATGCATCTGTCAGATGAAAAGTGAAAAGTGTTTCCCTCAGACTATTTGTCTGGGAGAACTTCAGGGGGAAAAACATCCTCATAGTGGACATTTGATATGAGCCGCAATGTCTCAATGTGATATCCAGGTTGAGTCTCTGTCTGAAAACAAAATTGGAAGCAAAAGTATATTGGTTTGGTGGGAAAAAGGATGAACTGTGCTGAATAAATTGGTTTTGTCTCTAGCATTACATGTGGAGACAGTGTCTGATATTGGTGAAAAGCTTGTTCCAAGTAGAAGGGACCCTGCTGCATAAGGTTTTGCCCCCAGCTGCTCATGTGTCCTTTTACAACAACAACAGCAGTGCAATTGTACAAGACATCCACGAGTACATGTCTCTGAAGATACTAAATATGTCACATATAAAATGTTCGAGCACCACACCAGTAATGTTTTAGACCATTGTATCCTGTATATTTTACATAGCTACCTATAATTGTCAGTAGCATATCACAGGTTTTTAGACTAATGAAGCACAAGTTTGTATTTACACCAGCATTTAAAGAGTAAGATAAGGTATTACTTTACAGTAAACCTCATGTAGCCTTTACTTTTTGGTCAAAATGTTGTTATTGTCACATAGAAATGGATTATTTTGGAAAAGGCTCTTTGTTGGTGGTTCACATACTTGCAGGAAGATCCAAGAGCCATCCAAGACTTGAGAGCTGGCTGTTGAATGGCATCCTCTTTAATGCAGGAAACAAACTCTCTCTTCTCTATTCACAACAACCCTGCTTGGGCATCTTTGGGGTTTTATTTTAGACTAACTTTTGAATGCATTTCTGCTTGGCAGCTGACTCTCAGATCTTGGATGCCCATGTTTCTACGAAGCACTTGAACAGACCAAACAAACATTGCCAAATTCCTCCTCTTATAAGGCAAAAAGAAAAAGGTGCAGGGAGGAGGATGTGACCACAGCCAGGTGTGCAGCTTGACAGGATGGCACAATAAATTGTTAAAATTTCTCCAGATGTGTGATAGTGTTGAGCTCACTGATCTGGGAGTATTATTGTATATGATAAGAAACATGAGGTTAACTCTTGGCTCCACAATGTGAGGTGACTGGCAGCTGGAGTATTTCCAAAAACTTGGATGGACATGTAACTCTCGTCTGTACTCAGAGACTGTGCTGAAAAAATATGGTGCACTAACAAAAAGCAAAGGTACACTGTGAAACTGTGTACATAAAAACTGGAGTTGAGCAAGTACTCGGCTGTAACAAGTATCCAGTACAGGTATCATGCTTTATCATCCCTTTATCATCATTACAGGATGAGTAATGTGTCAATGTCAGTTTTCTGATAAACGATAAATACAGCAACTCTTGTTTAAAGAAAACTGTAAATAATTATATTATACTACTATTGTAATCCAAAAAATTGCTCTGAAGCTCAGTTCTAAGGCTCATTTTCTAATTAATACAGCAACTTCTGATAAACTTCTGATTTGTCCTGCCCACGTCTGGTTCAAGCCCCGCCCATTCCACGTACAGATAATGACACAAATAATAATATAATAATGTACTCACTCATCCCAGATAAAAAACGTAGGGGAGAAAGACAACGAGGAGTCCCAACGAGAAGATGAAGAAATAATTATGAAATAATTATAACCATAGCATAACCCTATAGTGTTGTTAAAATATCTAAGATACTGTGTTTCTATGCGGAACATTGAGGTTTCGCCCACATATTACACTTGTGTGCTTTCAATTTAATCTGCCTAGTTGGATATAATAGTAACCTGTAGTGCAGTGGAGAGTCTGTGGAGTGCACTCGCCCTTCTCTATTGTCTTAATTACAGCCTATTTAACTTAAGGACTACTGAGTGGTGGGACCATAAACCCAGCTGCTTTGCACAATACAGCAATACACACATTGGTGTTAATGTTGACACTTTCAACCTCTCCTCCAGGTAGTGTGCCGGTATCTGCATCCTTAGACTGTCTGGTGGCGGAACAGGGCTGCATCCAGGAGCAGTCCTGCATGGTGCTCTATCGACTGCTGGAGTACTGTGCGGCTGAGGAGGCCGTGTCGCCTCTGGGCCCAGATGCCCGTTTGGAGTGCCTGGAGGCCCAGAACTCCTTGCAGCATTACCGCCCCCTTCAAGTTTGCAAGTGTCAGCGTGGCTCTCGCAGGGAGGAACACTGCCTGAGGGTCTACTGGACTGTGCGATTTGCAGGTGGGTTTAAGCATTGGCTTCTCTGTGTGTGTTATAATCATAATTTTATAATCATAACAAAACTCTTCACTTTTGTTTTAGCATATGATGAGTATGAAGTGTCTCCATATGAAGAATTGCAGTTAAATCTGGTGAGAAACATTGAGATGTCACGGATGGCCTCCATCATGGCAGGTACTGCTCGCAAATATTTAAACATTTGGCAGATAAATCCCTGTGTGTCATGATTTTCCTGATATACATTACACTGTTTTCTTCCTGATGACCTCCAGCTTCCTCTCTTTCTGTGGACGGCCAAAACCAGTGTCTGAAGGCAGCCCAGGACTGTGGCCTGTATGAGAAATGTGGCTCCCTGCGATCAGAATATGTTGTGGCCTGCACCAAGCGAGCAACAGTCTCTGACAACAGCTGTAACCGCCAGAAATGCCACAAAGCCCTGCGGCGTTTCCTGGAGCGCGTGCCAGAGGAATACAGCTTCGCTCTGCTCTTCTGTCCCTGCTCTGACACTCTGTGTGGGGAGCGCCGGAGGAAAACCATTGTCCCCTCGTGTTCCTATGAGGAGAATGGGAGAGGGGAGGAAAGAGTGGGCAAGCCCAACTGCCTCAGCCTGCAGAACTACTGCTCCAGAGACGAGCTGTGTAGGTAAGATGGTTGTTTGGGTGTAATGATACAGAACATTAAGTTCTCTTAATAAGGGTTTCAGCCTACAACAACTCAGAACAGAGGAAATATCTACTACAAAGCACTGAGGTATAAAGTATCAGAATATGTGCCAAAAATACTACAAAATTCATCACAAAGAATAACTTAGCTAGTATGCCCACATCAAATGCAGAACTAAAAAAATACATCAATATTTAAGGCACAATGTTTGTATCTCATATAGAGCTACAACTAATTGTTTTCATTATTGATGAACCTGCTGATTATTTTCTCAAGTAATTGTTTGGTCTATGCAACATCAGAAAAAATAGTGAAAAAGGCCCAAAGTGGCATTTTAAAATAGTTTTTGTTACCTGACCAACATTTCGAATACAGAGTATAAACAAGACATAAATTCAGTTTCTGGTAATATAAGAGAAGGATAAGCAGCTACCATACACTTTTAAGAAGCTGCAACCATCAAATATTTGGTATATTTGTTTGAAAAATTATTGTTAAATATTAAAGCTAGTTATCAAAATAGTTGCAGATACATTTTTGCATGCTTGTGTATGAGTGCATGTTAGCATTCTAGCACCGTGAAACACATCACAGCTAAATAAAGAGGACAGCACTGCAGTTGTTCTTGAAAGTTATATAACATACAGTGTCTTGGTTTCACGCTATTCCACCGATCAATGTTTGGTAGCGGTAACATGCCTAGATGACTGCTAGCTGGCTGTGTTCATTCTGTGTGCCCACAAGGATAAATGTTTTTTAGACAGAAAAGAGGGATGGGGGCGCTCAGAGCTGTTTGCTTTCGTGGTCCAGAATTCATGGCCTCACAACTGCCTGTCAGTATGATTATAAGGGCTTCTGTGAGGCTAAATTTAGTTCGTACTCTCCTGCATATTGTTCATAAATGTAGAGGACTTGCTTGCATTAATTACAGTCTAGTTTGTGTTTAAATGGTACAGAGGGTATTAATAAGAAGAGAAAACATACTTAGAGTATGTGAACCTTGGAATACAATGCAAACCCCCCACTGTAGTATGAGTATAAGATTTAAAACAAGAAAAGAGAAGAGCATTAACTACAGCTGACACAAGGTTCTTCTCTTCCACACGCATGTTTCCTCTGAAAAGCAGCACTGGAAAAGTACAGAATTTGAATGTGAATGTGAATGTGAAGACTTAAATGTGAATGTTTTTCATACCACAAAAGAACGTTTGTTGATTAGGTTTCCAAAGAGAAGTTTTGGTTTTAGTTGTACTAAAATAAAACATGGTTTTAATGATACATATGGTTTGAGTGCACGGTTATCAATTTCCCTGTCTTGTGTTTTGCACTTTTACACAATGTTGTAGTTTGTTTTGTTTTTGTTTTAGCTCGACCCCGGGTCCCAAAATGAAAATGTAAAAAAAACAACTTTAAAATGCACACTCTGTTTCTCTGTGCCGACACATGAAAAACAGTTTTCTCTTCTGTGTTTTTGTGTTTGTGTGCGTTTCAGATCACGGCTCGCTGATTTCCAACACAACTGCCAGCCCTCCCCTCTGTCTGCCTCTGGCTGTATGCGAGAGAGCAGAGCCATGTGCCTCAAGGCCTACGCTGGACTCATAGGTGAGATGGAGAAAAAGATATTAATGAGGTAGAAGAGGCTGAAGGAGGGAATAGTTCATAAAAATAGAGAGCTGCTCAGTGGACTCTTTATTGGAAATCATCAGATGGTGTCTAACAGTGATATTTGACTCATATCATTTTTATTTTGTTGCACAAAATAACTCTACAGGGGTTCATAAATGGTCAGCAGCCAGAAGTTGCTGCTCTGGGGATCCAGTCAGCATCACTTTAAAAAACTTGATTTAAAAATTGCATTTCCAGCAGCTCTACAAAATGAACCAGCTAATATTATTTCCTTCTCTTTCCCACACTGTATTTTCTTAAATGTAATTGTGTGTACCTGGAATTATTAATATTAAGAGCTGGAAAACTGGTGACACTGGATCCCCAGGGCACTAATATTGTTGTTATACCTTCCATAGACGTGTGTGCTGAAAATTAAAATCTTCTGCCTGAGGGAAATATGACATTAAAAGTGTAAAGTTGCACCTGTAATACAACTTTTATCTTCTTTCTATAACCAGGCACCATCATGACTCCAAACTATGTGAGCAACAGCAGCACAGAAGTGTCCCAGTGGTGCACATGTGATGGCAGTGGGAATGAATGGCAGGGATGTCAGCGCATCCTGCACATGTTCAGCAACAACATATGTCTGCGTGAGTAAAACATCACAAGGTTACAGCAGATAGACCTTCGGGGCTGCATGTCCATAGGGAGTAAAAACATAATAATAACATTTTGGGAGGTTCCTGCATGCAATATGTATAGCTCCCAGGAGAGAAGATGTGTGAGTTTCAAGCTTAAATTCTGAACTTTCTGCATGTTTAAACTACAGCAAAGATGTTCATGAGGTTCATCTTGTTTTTGGTCTGCAGTGAAATAAGCCCAAACATACAATTTAATAATGCGATGAAGTTAGATATTAAGCAAACTAGATCAGGATTTCTGAATTCTGAATATACTGATACCATTGTATTAAGCCGGACTCAGACTACAGGAGTTTTGCGCCGATTTACCTCAGGTTCACCTTCTTGACAATCGGAGGAGAAATTTGGTCTGGCACCTTGGTCAGTACCGACGTTCAGCCCAGGTTATCTGGTAATGTGAGGGGGTTAACAGATCCAGGCTTAAATGTCCCGACCCATCCCAGACTCCCGATAATGATAAAACATGTTTGTTATTTAGAAGTTAAAACCTGGATGACTGCGTTGGTACGGTAGTGAATGTGAGGTGTTGCCAAGCAGCAGTTAACTGTTTAGTCCTTAAGGCTAGTGTACTATTATTATATTATTATATTAAAACCTCACCTTCAGTTCTCGCTGAAGAATAGACAACCCGTGTTGACCGCATCTCCCCAACCATTTTCTTGATTAGCCTTCTACTTTTGTTACTTCTCACTACAAAGCATTAGATCACATGGGGAGGTGCATGGCTCCCTATGGCACAATAATCTAATATCCTGTTGTAGGCCTTCTTGATTTTAATGTAAGAAAACTTTAAATTGTAGGAAAGTTGTCTAATCTAACAATGGTCAAGTGCCAAAGACAAGAAAACACAGAATTTGTCAAAAACAAAGCCTATTGTATGTGTATTATTGTTAAAAATCATACAGAATTTGTCGAAATCACTTGTTTTACACAAACTTCTTGCAGTTGTTCACTATTTGACTTTATTGTACAGTTTTGAATACTAATAATAATATGAAATATCCATAAAAGGTCAGGGTCGTCAGTTCAATGCAATGATAGAAAAAAGGGTCCCTTTTGATTATTATTACAACTTAATCCATTAATTTGAGTGACAAATGTTTCCAAACTTCAGACAAGGTTCATTTTGACGTTAAGTAACTCATCCTTCCTGTGTCAAGATAATCACAGAGGAAATGTTATTTTTTAAGCTGTCAAATCTGAGTATAAACCAAATTGATCTTCTAATCGAGCATTTTATAATGTGCATTAATACAGAATTCAGATGAGATGGGTCATAATTGATGGCTGTGAGGGCGAACCATTGAACCATAATGTTTTCTTATGAATAAATAAATAGCAAGAGACATTCTCCCTTGTGTCTGGATGGCTGCCAAATGTGAATGTGGTTTCCAAGTTTTGTGGAGTCAATGAATCCTTTCCCCAAATCTGATAAACATAAAGTGGCTTCATGTTGAATTGTTGCCAAGCCAGCGGTGGGGAAAGAGCATCAGAAGATCCTACTCGAGACGCACTGTTTAAGTATAAAAGTAACTTTGTCAATGATAACATGCTCACATGCTTACCATGGTCACCATCTTAGTTTAGAATGTTAGCATGCCAACATTTTATTTATTATTCATTATCTATAATTCATCGTGAGGGCGTCGTGGATAAATCTACCACATTTAATGGCGATCCATCCAATAGTTGTGGTGATAAATCAGTCTGGACCAACTTTTAACCTGGCTTAAAATGACAAGTAATTTTCTTAAAAAAAATATTTTGTCTTAACATGCACAGTATTTACAGAGTTAGTAGCTCTAACTATGCTTATAAAAGTCACTATTTTGGCAAAGCTTCAAGGATGAATAACGATGTAAACCTAATGAAGACGGCCCCTGCTGATTCTGTTTCAGGCAATGCCATCAGCTCCATGGGAATCTCCGCACCTCCTCCTGTGGAAAACATTCCCGTGCCAGCTTCACAGCCCTCCCCGCGCATCTACCAGGAGAGGGTCCACGTCAGCGTTAACACTCTCCCTGAATTCAACAGTGTAAGGCGCTCCCGACTTCTTCACTGTCTTACCATATGCTAGTATTACACACTCGCTACAAGCTAAACTGAAGACGAGATTGACTGTGTATCAGGTGGTAACACCTAAGTATCACCAGGGACTGTAGCAGTGAGTCGGGCCCAGCAGCTCCCTCCTCTACCCCTACCTTTTACTGTGGCTGAGGATTAGCCGTAGGTGTTTGCAGCATTACACTCAACCTTTACTGTTAATATTCATGTATGCACACCCATCTGCTCCATATTCCCCATCTTCTCACCATTGTAATCCTCCCCATTCCGCATATTCTGTTCCTCCTCTCCCATCCCACAAACCCTGCCACTCCTGGGCTGCATATATATTGGACATCCAGATATATAGTTTATTTAAAGATGCTGCATTTGAATTTAACTATAGCACTGAAGTTGAATTGATGCATTCTCATGCCCGCAACAAAGCGGAGCAAATGTCTCCTTTAATAATAGTAATTATTATTTATTTAAATAAATTATTATTTATTTTAAATTGCCCATTAAAATTAGAAAATGGAGACTGAAAATGGATCATTATGCTTCAACAGAAAGTGATCTCCTGTAGTTTTGATGCCAGTGACATGTCAAGGCCATTTTTAATAAAGGTAAAAATAAATAAAACTAAAGCTTTCAACAGTGAGAGGCTGTGCAATTATGATACTGTCCATAATTTAAAATGCAAATGGGGAAAGAAGGAAACAAGTTCCTTAAAACATTATTTTGATAATGCAGATAAACCTTTGGTATTTACTTATTTACATAAGCACCTTTAGACAACATTAAAGAATCTTTAAGAGTAAGTAAATGCCGCACTGAGTAGAAAGCGATATTTCACCGTCCTCCTTGGTTGAAAGTTTAAATTGTGTTGTGCTGTTCTGTTGCACCTGTAACCACACCCAACAGTGACATCACTGTGTACTGACACACCCTGGAGTACACTTCTACATCATTGCAGCCAGCTGAGAAACAATATTCATTTGGGATGTTGACAGGAGACCACTGCAGGGGTAGTCTACGTGGGTAGCACATGCTGACGAGCTACCTGCTAGCACGTTTACTGCCAGCTGGCTGAGTGAGCTATTAAAATGTTATCTAGTAGACCACAGTGCCTTGGGTTGGCAATGTTTTTATTTTTACAAAATTTCAGTGAGTGATGCTGAAAGTGAACATTTGTTTACAATAACATTTTGCTGTTAGTGTTTCCTCTTAATGTTATATTTCCACAGTCAGATATTCAGAAGAGTTGGTGGAAATATGCACATAAAAAAATCTGTGATAAGATAATTGTAATACAGAAATTGGAAGTAATTTATATTGAAGAAATTCTTAAATGTAGTTCTCAAAATATAATTAACTAGAAGATATTTTTGCATAAATATTCATAATGGCAATATTGACTTACCCATTATCTTACCATGTCAGATGTGACTTCATTCTGAGTGTCCCTGTGTTTAAAGTGCTTATGAGGAGGGACACAAATCAGATGGCAAAGGCCACTCCTGTCTTTACACTGTGTCTGTATTTGTATTTCTGTCAGCAGCAAACCACTGACACTTATTCTGGTGGACAGATTGGTTTTGAGCCAAGTAATTATCAAATAGATTTCGGTGTTGATCTAGATCTGGGATTCCTGCCAATACATGGTTATTGTTTTCTTAGCCACAATGATACATGATTGCTTTTTATAGACGTCTCCATATCAGTACGGTATAATAATGTATAAGAAATGTAAGTAAGGCTTCGTGTTGCTGCACTGATATTATCATTTTATTACCGTTATAAACAGTTTCAAACACCAGGAGGCCTGTTGGTTTGTCTGGTTTGGTCTAGAGTAGTGCTCATGATTAATATGCAGATGTAGAAAATTAGATAACATTAGATAAATTAATGGTGATCATTTATGAACATATGCTTCTATTTTCCGACACAGAGAATACAAAGAGCGGACACAATAAAAGCAACACCTGAACATGATTATCAACAAACTTTCAAGAGTTACCGAAGAGATGATGTAACACTGTTATGGCATGTCTTATTCTAACTCGGTTAACTTCTTGGTTGTTTTGGCTGCAGCATTAGGATATTTTTAAAATGTGAATGTTGAATGTTGTGGACTTTCTCTGAACTTCCCTCCACGCTCCACCACTTCTGTTAATTGGAAGAATCACTCTTTCTCCACTTTTACAGATGGAGGACAGCGAGGAAGAGGAGCAGGAGGAGGAGGAGGAGGAGGAGAGCGAGAAATTCAACGTCATCCCGCCGTATTCTGAAAAGGACTCTAACATCGAGTCGGGGGCTAGAGGGAGTAAACGGGGAGCAGCTAGCCGAGCAGTACCTGTGTTATCATTACTGCTTCTGCCTGCACTCATCCTGGACTGGGAGTGTCGGAGCTATTGAATACTCCGTCTCATCCCCTGCACATATTTTACACTCGCTACCACTTTCAAATCCATCACAGCACTCAGAACGAACCACAGAGGATATTTGCGAGGAAGAAATGCTTCATTTCTTTTTTTTCTTTTTTTTTTAAATACCCTGACTTTATTTCATGATTCAGTTTCTCCTATCACTGCCTCCTCAAGAGTTAAAAGATATCAGTAGTCCCGCAGTATCTGCCGTGTCACTGCTCGAGTCCTCTCCTATGAAATGAAGGGAACAACGTGAGCAGATATATGAGTGCATGGGTGAATTTAGAAATGCTGCCTGGGCAAATACTCTATCTAGAGCCTGCTTCACACTCAAAAGTACATCCCCTCTTTTAACAAGAAGCACATCGCCTTAGGCCACATCCACTATACACCCTCCCAAAAACCATAACCAGTCTACTCCACTGCAACCAGGCCCGAGCACGACTTTTGATTTCTATTTCATGACTCATGTCACATCCGTTTCTCTGTTGCCCCTTCGGCTCTTCCTCTGCTTCCTTCATACTATGGTTGAGTAAGATAATCCACTTTACAACAAGTTAATAAGAAACTGCACCACACTTAAACAGCTTTGTACAATTGGGAAAAAAAGAACGTTTTAAAATGGCTTAATTTAAAAACTGATAAGACACGAACCAATGTGTTGTCACATTATGTACGAGAGATCTTATGCCTTTTCAGCCTTTGCTTCCTTTCACTTTGTGCACCATAAAGTAGAGAGCTACAGTCGCTCTGATCTGCTTCTTTTGTTAACACGCCACTTAGTATTATTCCTACCAGGGTGAATGGCTGAGAATTCAACCACGGGCAAAAGTAATGAGATCAAATTCTATTGTAGAAATGACAAGCAGAGAAAAGCAACAGGAGCAATTATAGCACAATTTAAATTGCTCAGCATGCAGGGGAAGTCTGGAGTAAGGCTCAGGGGAGGAAATAGCCAATTTACTGCTGTCATACCCTCTCTTTTTTATCCTTAGGAGGTGTGTTTTTAGTGCTCCTTCCCCATTACATGCTTTAGATGTTGTGAGAGCGAGATACAGAGATAGGGACGGACACAGGAGGCTGTGAAGCCTGCTGGCTGCTCTGATCATTGAGCAGCACATAGAGCCATTCTCTCTGCCTGAAATAGCTTTTGCTGATGTTAATGATTTTTTTCTCTTATGGCTCATTTTCTTGTGAAATTACGCAGCTGTAGGGCTGTAGGTAAAGAGAAGTAAAGTGAAATTTTTGTTCAAGCATAGTTTGCAAGAAACAACCTGTCTGAGCTCTGTGTTATATTGTGCTTATACATTGATTTTACTTTTAAAAAGTGTTGTATGTAATGTAATAATATCAGTCCTACAATGGTGGGTGACTTCAAACAGCAGTCCATCAACCTCACCGTCTTCAAACAGATCAGAACTGAACATTTACTAAATAAATCCATTCTTGGATGTTTGAATATCACTTGAGGAGGCAGTATGCCCCCCTTCCACTTTTTTGCCCTCCCACTTCTGGACTTGTTTACATGATGGTTTCTTGACATGAACTTTTGATAGGGACACATAAAGGCAGAAACGCACTGGAAGCGTCGGAGCTATGCTTCTGCAAGTCCATCACTACTTCAAACTTGAGTTTGATTTTTAGAAGTCAAAAGAAGACTCAAATGGATGTTGTAAGGTTAGCAGAGCTGTAGTGACTGTTGCCCACCTCAGAGCAAAATGACATCATGCAGGCTTTTAACCACTTTCTTATTGAGGGTTTGGCTGCAGGAAAGTAAGAAGTAGGTGAGGAAAAGGCCAGTTAACAAAGCTCTGAAGTGTGACTGCAAACTTAGTGGGAACAAAAAAATATATAACAGAATCTTTTAAATAAAAAGTACAGCTGTCAACAAGTTGGTATCAAATATGAACCAGATCCAGACCATAGAGGTGTTGATGAATACAATGCTAGAGAAACATTAGCCATCACAGTGTCACAGCTACAGTTATCCGTAAAGCATCAAATGAACAACATCCAGTGACATCAGGTGTCAATATTGCATCCAGTGCGCTCTGGCCTTATGGACTGAATGTGAGTTTACTTGTATTTTCACATTTCAATAGGTTTGTTTATATTTGTACAATATGTAAAGTAAACATTTACATTAAACATGGCTTGTATTTTTTGATGAGTTAAGAAAAAATGAAAAAGAAAAAATGTTTATTCTCCACTCATAAATCAAAATTCTTTAAGAAAATGTGTGAATATTCCCCAAAATTAGTTTTTAGATTGTATCTTGAAAATCCAGTTAAGAGACTATGTACAGTACTATGTTTCACATGCTAACCTTCTTTTGAAGACATATCAAACATGCCAAATAATTCTGACTGTAATGTGTAATAACTGTGTAATTTTGTGACATAGCCAAACAGTGTGCCAATTTGTTAAAAGAAGAATAAAAGTCACATTGGAAATTTTCACGTCTGACAGAAAAAAAGTGCCTTTGAATGACCAGGAAATGACTACTGTGTACAAATGTCTAACATTTTAATATTTTCTTCTTCCTAACACATCTTCTTTTTACAAGTATTACAGGAAAAGACTGATACATCCTGGAGGGATTGGGAGTTTTGCTGACAAGTTTAATGTCCAGTGCAAATTGGTGAGTTAATCACCTTAGTCGAATTTTTAAATACATGCTAAAATATACAGCTTTAGTGCTATTTGGACTTTAATTGCTTTAATTAAAAACTGAATGGTTTAGAATCTGTAAATAAATGATAAGTCAGTGGTTTTGTCTGGCTCATAGCCACTTTGGACACACTGAGCCAGGACTCTCGTGTTTATATTTTACGTCTGACTGATGGAGGTGATTACAGGGTCTTGGGGCTTCTACATCCAAAATGACACCACTGTGGCAGGAACAAGCTACAGTGGAATGATTTTGAGGGAAAAAAAGAGAGGCTGTAATGGAAACTGGCATCAGCCTGCACTTTAATTATAAAAAGTACGGCATGAGGGCTCTGGCCCTTTGTTTTTTTTATGTCCAAATCCAGCCAACTGTCTACAAAGTTAAGTTATGCTTTATTAATCCTCCTGAGGAACAAAATTCCTCTGCATTTTAACCATCCTTACTATTCAGGAGCAGTGTGAGGCCACTCATTTCTCAAGTCCTGGAGCCAAAACCTAGAGGAACTATATCAGTGGTTTGCATGTTTTACCCTGTTTACTACAAATCATATATACTTTAAATCTCAGCTTAACATTCTGTGAACAATGGGGCTCTTGCTGCTGTCAGAAATCATTTCTCTCTACAATTCCAGGAGTCATTGGTTTATGTTCATTTCTCTGAGTGAAATGAACAGACTCTTGGAAAGTGCTTGAGCTGTGTAATCCATCACGATGAACATTAAGCCACTTGTTGTTAAAGTTACATTATTGTTATGAGGTAATGCAGCACAAACCATTCAGATAAATCTGCACCTAGGTCCAGTGTGTAATAAAAACATTTAGGAGGAGCTATTGGCAGATGTGGAATTTAATATTTATGTTTTCATTAGTGTATGATCACTTGAAAATAAGAACTGTTGT